CCTGAATTTGCCACACTATTTAAAACTGCATTATTCATGTCTCCGGAAACTGGACCAAAATCAGAACATCCAGTTCCTGGAATTGAACTCGATGAATTTGCAAATGATTGGCTCAAGTGGGAATTAACAATAGCTGAAGACTGCCCTTCTCCTTGGTAGAAAATCCCAGAACTCGATGAAGACTGCGCTAATCCTCCAGCCAAACGAGAAGATGCCATTGAAGCCACCACCCCTTGGCGGCTAGCGTCTAGGTAGCCAACCAGACCTCACCAAAATAGACATTCTGTAAACATTCACAAAGATAGAAAAACCATACCCACGAGAGAGAAACCCAGAAACCGCCCACAAATTCCTCATGTCAAATTTTATAAGAAGAAAATGTGGACAATATCATGATTCCACTTGAAACGTTAAATATAAAGTATCTGAGCCTTTGGACCTTGAAGCCGGGGAAAAAAAAAAAAAAAAAGTAAAATAAATCAAGCTCTATCAAGACCACTTGAGGCGCAGGGCTATTGAAGTTTCAACCGTAACCCACAAGGATCTGTAAGGAAAGGGAAGGAAAGGAAAGAGTTAGTAGATGAATGAGAAAATGAGAGAAGCGAAATTCAATTTTAACGATTTTAAAAGCAATCTCTTACATAACCCTAACAACTTGCTCAAAACCAGACAAATTTCCCGTCCGACTGACGAAACCCTAAATTAGCTATGCAAGAAATAAACTCCGGCAGAAGACTCACGATTGAAATTAAACTCAAATATGGCAAACTACATTCTCTGAACTTACCAAAAACAAATTAATCCTAATTTCTCATCGTTTAAGAATTAAAAACAGTGATGCAACAAAAAGCAACTCAAATCGAACATGAAAACACTCCCTCCCTCCCCTGCTCAGAGTAAAGAGAGGGGGAAATGAAGAACAAACCAAACTCAGTAAATTAATCAGCTCAGCATCAAATTCCCCACCTAAACACAAGCCGAACATGAACATCGAGAGATAAAAAAAACCCAAAAACAGTGAGCTTTAACAGTGTCTGAGAGATCAAATCATGGAATCCAATGAATCGAATAGAGAAGAAGAACAAGAAAACTTGAACAAAATTGTAACAATGAAGAGAAAGCAGCTAAGATTCGAAACCTTTGAGAGATTAACAGAACAGAGAAAGTCGGCTCTTTTTTTTTTTTTTTTTTTTCTTGCTTAATTTGGAAACCTGAAATTTCATACAAAAGAGGGGAAAGAGAAACTTGGAGGATACTTGTGTTATGTAGTGAAGCGTAGATAGCGGGAATTGCAGCGAGGGAGTAACCGGCTGCATTGATAAACCAGTCATCTGTCACCGACCACTCCCGGTCAATCTCGCAACACGTGTCGTCGCAGTGATCGAGAAACGTATACGATGCCCGATCTGGCGGTGACGAAACGAGGTTGGTTACAACGTGGCAGGCTCTCATTGGTCTGTTTTGGGGACGCTTAGGATGGGTTTTGGAGATCTTTCGTCACCGTTATTCTTTAGAAGGGAAATAATCAGGCGCATTAAAGCCTATCCAAATTGAACATCCCCCGTTTGCCACCTCATCGATGTAAGGACATTTTTAGATTTTCGAAAAACATGTAGGGGCCATTTTGTCTTTTCGTTCTAACATGATGCAACGTGTCTCTCATTTATTGGTTGGAAGTATGAGAATCCATGTGAGCGTAGACTTTCGACGCTGGTGATATTACCAATCCCGGTTAATAAAGACCACGTTTAATTCGATTTTATAATAATTAAATTAAAATATTAATTTTTAGACTAATTTCATTTCATCCACATTTCCCCCCTAAAGTAAGGTATTAAACATGTGAATAAATTATATAATTAAACCATAGAATGATAAAAAAAGAAATTAGTTATCATTTTAATTTCATAGCCATTTTTTAAACTTTAAATTACTTTTAAAACTATTTCTTAATTACTTAAATGACGATAACTAATATTCAACGAAGGTTTAAAACTCACTTATTTAAAAAGTGCTAACGGAGCAAGTTTATAAAGCTAATATAGTCACATACAACCTCGATTTATCATTACTCGAGCAAGACATGTCTAGAACATCGTTCATGATTAACACATGACATGTTTCGTTGGACAACAAACCAACATATAAACTGGGGGTAGTCAAAGAAAGGTAACACGAACCGCCCTATTTGACATTTGACAATACGTGCTACACTCTTAACACTAGACATAACTCATGCTCGTACTTTTGTATTAATATCATTATTAGGTCGTAATTGAAAAAATGAACGAAAACAAGAGACAAAATATTTTAAGGTAGGTAGGCACTATATTGACAAGCGCTAATTGCTCTCCCCCGTTAAGTTGCTTAGAAAAAGTGCAAAAAAGTTTAGTCAATGAGCTCCATCAAATGATTGCTTGTTTGGTATGCTCCTTTATCTATTTATTTTCGAAATATCATTTTTTTTTCATTTTATATTTATTATTAAGTATTGTAATTAATCAACCCTTTCGTTAATAGTCGTTAAATTATCATTTTATGATTCAGGAGATCAAGTTATAAATTTAGTATATAACGATTATTTATATATAATTTATTTTGAATTATTTTTGAATTATTTTAAAATAAGCATTTAAAAAGTATGGATATGGCCTACCACAAAGTTTATTATTGACCATCGGAGGCACTAATTTTGATGTTTAGAAAGCAAAAGCAACAATTTGTCCTTTTATGTTTTTTGAACAATAAAATTCAAATTAAGAAATTGTTTTAAAACAAACTCCAAGATGCTTTTAACAGCTTTTTGTAATGTAAATTTTACAAGAACAATGAACAATATAATATCTTAATCTATCCATTTTGTAAATATATGAATCATATATGTAATACATAAAGTTTGATGTAGACAATTGAATGCATATTGAATTTATAATATGGTATAAATGTATAAATTTCATTTGAATTGATATAGTTAATGGACATTAATTATTAGGTGTGTGACAGCAAAAGTAAACCCATAAACCAAAATTAGAAAAATAATAATGTTTCCCACTTTGGTTTATAATAATAAAGTAATGGTTGTACATTTACATTAGGGAATATTAATGTACATAATAAAAAGAAAAATAGGTGTACAGGAAACAAGGGCCATGGCTTCTTTTTCTTTCTTTCTTTTTTTCTTGAGATTTTTGTGTGAAAAAAAGAAAGGATTCTTTGACATATTGTTTGATTCCTTTAAAAAATAATAATTAATTAATTAATATATATATAGATATATATATATAAATTTCTTAGTTTTTGTACCCTCTATGCCCCACAAATGAGCTTGGATTATTGCACTTTTAAGATTATCTGTCTTCGTCACTATAAACTATCCTACAAATCATCATAAATTACTCTATTGTCATCAAAGTATACGTCCTTTTCAACAACTAAGAAGTGAATTGTAATAGCCCAAGCTCCTTGTAAGAAATATTATCTGTTTTGACCTATTACGTATCGTTGTCAGCCTCATAGTTTAAAAACATGTCTACTATGGAGAGAGTATAGCCTTATTCCGACTAGTGCCTCTGACTTGCTCTGATACCATTTGTAATGCCTCATATCGTCTTCTTTGGGTATTTTCTTCTAAGCTTCCTTTCATGGTTTTAAACGCACTACAGAGAGCTTTCTACACCTCCATAAGAAATATTTTGTTCCTCTCTCCAACTAACGTGGGATCTCACATCACCCAACGTTTCAAACAAAACACACTTAACTTTAGAATTTATAAACTTGAGCTATCGAAAAAGAAAATGCACGTTGTCGGTATAGATAATAAATTTTAATTTTTTTTAAGTATTTCTTAATCATCATATTCTTAAAAGTTAATTTCATAGAGTTACAGTTTATTTCATTCTAATTAATTATTTTTTTTAAGAAGAAAAGTAGATTATATATTTTTCATAGTAAATATACGTTACAATAAGATCCCAATTAATTGGTATAATAAAATAATAATTAAAAAAAAAAAAAAAAAGCATAACGTTATGATATATGCACTCATAGTTCTAGGTTTGCATTATCGAGGCTCCAAGTTAATCATATTGTTCGCTACCAACAGATCTCAACAGAAAAAAGGAGATTTCTGGATTTATGAATTTAATATTCTGAAAAAATACACGAATATTTTTGTTTTTTGTGACCATAATTTTTTCACCATTTCCTAAATGTAAGCTTTTTCAATATTTATTTATTTATTTTCTTCTTTGTTCACAGTGCTTTTTTAAGAATACTACATAATAAAGCAAAATTTAATATTATATTTCTATTTAAACCATATATATATATATATATTTATATTTATATTTATTAAAAATAGTAACACATAATTTTTTTCTTTTAATTTGAAATAAAAGAAATTAATCTCACTAGAATAATTTCAATTCAATTAAACAAAGTCAAAGATTCGAACCCTCATCTTCAGGATTGTGTTAGATGAAAGTGTCTCACATAAGTTAATTTAGGGAATGATCATGGATTTATTATCAAAGAATACACGCCTTTTGTGGAAGCCCAGAGTAAAGCCATGAGAGCTTAAGCTGAAAGTGGACAATATCATACCATTGTATATAGTCGTGTTCCTCTAACGTGGTCAAAGTGGACAATATCATTACCAATAGATGGGCAAATCCAGTGACTAAAAAAGACTCCAAAGGAGTCGAACCTTGATTAAGAGGAGGCATGAGCCTCAAAGGCATAGAAAAGACTCCAAAGGAGTCGAGCCACGATTAAGGGGAGACATACTTTGTTCCAAGGATCAAAGAATACACTCTCTAGTCGTGACTCCATTCATAATCTTATGTTTTCTTTTTTAATAAACATAAATTGCAATTTGATTATAATTCTTAAACCAACCCAAAGTGATTATGAAACTCTGTAGAAAATTGATCGCGAGTCCAATTGAAGGGATTTGGATTGAGCAGGGAAGTGTCCGGCCCAATGATCCTCGGTGGAATTTAAGAGAGATGTTTCTAATGGAATTCGTTTTCTCGATTGCCAAACGGGGAAAGATAATGAGCTGCACAATTCTCTCTCCCGACCCGTTAATTCGGTTGTCATCCACTCCCCGATTTCGCGCTAAAAATGGGTCGAAGAGTCCAGTGATTACTGCTCGTCTTGACGATTCTAAGAACTCGCCCAGTCGCCAACTCAATCTCTCTGTTCTTCGCTTCACACTTGGTATCTCTCTCTTCCTCTATTGTAAATGCGTAATTTCTGAAGGAATTTGATAACATTTCTTTGGAATGGGTTTAGGGATTCCTGGATTGGATGAGTCTTACTTACCCAGATGGATTGGTTATGGATTTGGTTCGCTTCTGCTTTTGAATCACTTTGTTGGTTCGAGTTCAGCTGCTCCCATCACCTCAGCACAGTTAGTAAGCAATCACAGTTTTCTGGGAACGCCTTTGCTTTTAGGTTCTTGTTGGGGTTTTCGTTATTTCTGCTATTTGATGTGTTTTTTTTTTGGTAGAGAACTGAGGCTTTAGGCATTTCCTTGGCTGCATTTTCTATTGCACTCCCCTACTTGGGAAAGTTTCTTGAGGTAACATACGAGATATTACATTGTTGTCCTGATTATACAGTTATTTTTTAATGTTCTTCTTCTACTTGCTGGAAAACTTCTGTTAATCTCTGTAAGAGTGTGGAAAAAGGAGGATTCGAGGGACTTGAAACTGATGGCTTGTGTAGTACTTAATTATCAAGTAGGGATTGTGATGGAAAATAAGAGACTTGGACGGGGGGGTATATATATGATGGATCTTGTTAAAAGAGAATGACCTTAATGATGACTGGAGAGCTTACTTTTGGGTGATTGTTTGGGAAAGCTTTGCTATCAAAGTGTCCTGATTTTGTACCTATGTAGAACTCTAAGTGGTGAAGTATTAGATTGAGATGAACTTTTATGTGACCGGATTTGTAAAATAAAATTGTATCTAGAACCGGACGGGCATCTGACTCCTTCATGAAGGCCCCATAGCTCAGTTGGTAGAGCTCCACTCTTGCAATTGGGTGGTTGCGGTTATGGGTAGGATGTCTAATTGTCCAAGCGATCGATTTCGGTTGGGTGGATGCCTAATGACAATCCTATCTAATAAGTTCAAAGATGCTTCACCTGTTCAATCCAACTCTTCCCAAAGTTGATCCAGCCTCCCTTGAATGTGAATAAGATTGTCATTCTAACCCTGATGGTTTTCTAAACATTCTACGTGTAGTGTTCATCTCGGAATCTTCTTGAAGATTGAAGCTCTCTTATTCGTCCTCTATCTTGCGTAATTTTCTTTTCTAACGTCCTGTTATTGTTAATTCAATTTGGCTCAAATGTCACCTCAGATCTCTTTATCTAGCCTTCCGTCTCGGATAATGACTTATTTGGTAACTGCCCAAGCTCACCGCTAGCAGATATTGTTCTTTTTGGGCTTCCCCTCAAGGTTTTTAAAACGGTGTGCTAGGGAGAGGTTTCCACACCCTTATAAAGAATGCTTCGTTCTACTCACCAACCATTGTGGGATCTCACAATCCACCCCCATTCGGGGTTCAACAATTCTCCTCTCCAACTAACGTGGGATCTCCCATATTTGCTAGGAACATACAAAAAAAGAAGTCTCACCACCTCCTTATATAAGATGTTCTCACATTGCTGACGAAGCCATTATCACTTTTTTGTTCTATATTCTAGCATCATACCATTCCATGAGTTGCTGACTCGCGTATTAGAGCAACTTCATCAGCACCCTGTTGATGTCTAGTTGAAGCATTGGGACTTTTGCTTGCAGGGTGCAGTTCCATCTGGCGAAGCTACCCTCCCTGAAGGTGCCGAGCAAATATTTGTCTTGTCACAAAGTGTATCGGATAATGTGAAGGATGACTTGGCTTGGGCAACATACATCTTGCTGCGCAATACAAACAGTATATCAGTGGTATGGTATCTCACCCATTTTTGGTGTTCAAAAGATTAAATTATTTAGCTTCCCTCGACAATGTCTAAATTTTAATTTTTGCATTTATCTTTGGAATCAGTTAATACAGATTCAAGGGGAGTTATGCGTTCGAGGATACTGGAATAGTCCAAATGATATATCAGGAGCAGATTTACTTGCCTGGTTTGAGGAGCAGCTTCAGAGCATTGGCCTATCTGCATTAAATGATGCCCTCTATTTTCCTCAAATTTCAGGTATATGATTGCCTTTTTAAGGTCTTTTTTGCTCTCTTGCTGCACATGGAATAATGTCTTAGAAACGACCATAATTAGTGGAGAAAACGTTGTTATCTCCTTAAAAATCAACCGCTATCAATATTTGAAGACATCTGCAATGTCATATTGGTTTCTTTTCCTTATGGTGATGAGGTGTTTCTCCTGGTTGCTTTTCTGATGAAACATGCATTGATAGTAATAGTTAAACAAATGCTATGATGTTCTATGAAACCTTTCAAAATCATGGTTTTCATAACTTTTTCAGAATCTGGACTTTGGCAAATGCTGCCTAAGGGCACTCGCTCAGTTTTGGTACAGCCAGTGGCTCAAAATCTAAACCAAAGTGGCAATGAGATGGAAAAGATTGGAGGATTCATATTGGTGGCTTCAAGTTTAAGTTATGCATTTAGTGATAAAGATAGAGCCTGGATAAGAGCTCTTGCTACCAAGTTTGATAATGGGGACATATCGGGGGGAAGTAAGTAATAAATCTCCAATATAGTTTTTGGTTATTGACGTGCCTTTCTCAGAAGTCATGAGCATGGTACTGATACTCACTTTTACCAATAAAATAGAGAATGTTACTATTTTTTTTAGTTCAACAATCTTATTGACGCCCATTTCTTAGAGCTCACTAAGCTTTGCATTGATTGACGTACAAAAATTACTTTTTGATGCAACTGTTTCGAGCAAGACATGGAAAGAACAGAAACGTGACGCATTGTCTTTGGGCCAAAATCTATGAGTATATTTTCTATGAACCTGCCTGTAACGGCCCAAACTCACCGCTAGCAGATACGGTCCTCTTTGAGCTTTTTCTTTCGTGTTTTCCCTCAAAGTTTTTTAAGATGCGTCTACGAGGGAGAAGTGTCCACATCCTTATAAAGGGTGTTTCCTTCTCCTCCCCATCCGATGTGGGATCTTACCATCCACCCCCTTCGGAGTTCTAGCGTCCTTGCTGGCACTCGTTCCCTTTTCCAATTGATGTGGGATCCCCCAATCCACTCCCATTTGAGGCCCAGTGTCCTAGTGTCCTTGTTGGCACACCGTCTCATGTCCACCCCTTTTGGGGCTCAGCCTCCTCGCTGACACATCGCCCGGTATCTAGCTTTGATATCATTTGTAATGGCCCAAACCCGCCGCTAACGGATGTTGTCCTCTTTGGGCTTTCCTTTTCGGACTTCCGCTTATTGCGAAAATGATTTTGTTCTAAATTCTCTTTTATTTATACCTAATGAAGTAAATTCTTGGAATAAAATTTGGAGTATCCTGCGCCTAGTTGGTACATGTTGCCATTCGCGCTTGGACATCCAAACGAATGCTTGTTACGAATTTGTATAGAACAGAAGCTTAGCAGATCTTAGCATGATAATTTGGACATGATGCAGCATCAACATCTATTTAGAGCCTTTGATTTCTTGGGCTGATCTGCTGAACTCAACTCTTTTTCCTCAAATCTAATTTGTTGGGGTGAAAATGTAAGAATCTATTAGAATCTGTATGTTTGCGCGAAGAAAAATGTACATGAAAGAATATATGAAGAACAAATGAGGTCATACAAGTATCACAGTGACCCTTTTTAGAGGTACCCTTCTTTAAGAACTATAATTTAATTTCTCCATGTACACAAGGAAAATGAAAAACAAAAAGTTATCTTTCAATTCTCTCTAACTTGAGCTCCTGACTCTTCTTTTTGTTATCAGGTCGAAAGGTCACTCCGTCCAATGAACAACGGAGATGAAGTTTCAGATTGAGCTACTAGGAGAGAGCCTTCGAAGCCTTCTAAAAATTTCTCCCAGCCGTATACCAGATTCTGCCAAAGTAGCACAGAAAGGCGATAGTTTGACACAATACAGGATGAAGATCATTCAAGAAAATTTGAGGTGCATATACTGACGTGTGTTTAGGTACCTTAAGACGCACCACCTTTCTAATTGCCAATAACAAGCCTGGTACTAGACATTGCACATTTGTAACATCATGTTTGAGAGTGTAAACCTGTGGTGCAAACCATGATACGTGTTGGGGAAGGAAAACACCTACCACTTTGATTGCAGATGTTAGGAACCACAAACCTCCACAATGGTATGATATTGTCCACTTTGAGCACAAGCTCTCATGACTTTGCTTATCAAGGAGATGTATTCCTTAGTTATAAATCCATAATCATCTCCTTAATTAGCCAACATGAAACTCCCTCTCAACAACCATTCTGGTTGTTGAATGAGTGGCTTGCAACTTCCCTAATGTTAGTTAGATAAGAACAGAAACACGAGCTAGAACTTACCTCTCCAGAAGTAGACATTGGTGCTGGAAGGATGCTCTGGAAGAACTAGGCTGTACACTCGAACTCGATCTTCTCCAACATCTTGTCCCTTTGCCTTGCAGGAAAAAAGGAGAAATAAGCAAGCGAGTCTTTTTCTAAATGGGCTTCTGAGTTTGATGTCTTAGTCATCAACACGGTGAATTTTCATAATCTCTTTACAAGTTATATTCAAATTTTGTAGACATAGTTTGATCCTTATTGGCTGAATTCCTTTAAGTGAAGCACATGAATAAGATAGCTATACGAGGTGAAAGTAAAGAGAATAAAAGCAGGTACATTATGATATATATTTTATTTCACATCATGTCTCAGTTCTTAATGACTGATACATCAAATTAAATGAGGCAAGAGACTGCTCATGAATTCAGCTTACCAGTCTCCGGTTGAAATATCTTCTCTGTTGCAGTTCTGGCCCAAGTTTGAGAGGTTGTTAGCTATTTGAGATGCATCTGAAGATGGCACATCCTGTCACCAAAAAAGTCAGTATTTAATGCCCATCTGCTACATTTACTTCTCTCTTTCTCTCTCTCTCTCTTAACGTCCTATGGTATTTTTTTTATTTTTTTTAGTACAGCTTCGTATGGTATTTTATAATACACTAATGGAGATTTGAAAGACTTGAATCCATGTACTTGATTCAGATGTTAAACTAAGCTAATGTAGGTGAGAGAGAAGAGTGCATGTTGATTCATCTATAGTTTAATGGCAAAGGTCACAGCCTTGTACGAACACAATGAAAATGGAAAAGTATTGCCTATTTTTCTTCTCCTTTATGATTTTCTTTTCCTTTGAAACTGAAATAGCAAATTAGTTGTTGATATGATTTGATTAACCTGTGCATTCTATCTGGATTCCACAGTCTCAACGTTGCAGTAATGGGAGGAAGCTGAAATTGCTACTCGCTGGAGAAGGATAGAACCAATGGACTGAGTTGGGTTGACAAGCCAACCCTCCTGTGACCAAATCCATTAAAGCATTCACACACGAGAGAGTTTTGTTAAGAACCACGACCCTCCACAATGGTATGATATTATCCACTTGGAACATAAGTTTTCATGGTTTTGCTTTTGGTTTCTCCGAAAGGCCTCATACCAACGGAGATGTATTTCTTACTTATAAACTCATGATCACCTCCTTAATATAAGCCAATGTGAGACTCCTTCCCTTTAACAAAATACACTATAGAGCCTTCCTTGAGACTTATGGAGTCCTCGAACTCCCTCCCCTTAATCTAAGCTTGACTTCTTCTTTGGAGTCCTCGAACAAAGTACACATTTTGTTCGACACTTGAGTCATATTTGACTATACTTTCGAGACTCACAACTTTTTTATTCGACACTTAAGGATTCTATTCACATGACTAAGTTAAGGGCATAACTTTGATACCAGATAAGGAATCACAACTCTCCATGATGGTATGATATTGTCCACTTTAAGCATAAGCTCTTTTCCTAAAAGGCCTCATACCATCGGAGATGTATTCCTTACTTATAAACCCATAATCATCCCCTTAGTTAGCCAAGGTGAGCTCCCTCCTAACGACAATCCTCAACAGGTTGAATTAAAATATCTCGCCCTGTACTCACCATGCTTGCTTTCTCACAGAGATAATGCAGTCACTGTGTCAACTTTTATTCCAGGAACATAAACCTCACTTCTCATACCAAATGAAGTTGCCTAAATTGAAAAAAGAAACAAGGCAAAGATGAAGATTTGGGTCTCGAATATTTGCAGAGGAGATAGAAGGGCCCATCAGAGAAAAGAAAAAAAAAAGTTTGATGTTTGCCAAATGGGGAAGAAAGATGAAGATGCTACCTGCTTCACGTTCTCATATACTTTAGAAGGTTGGGTAAAATCAACAACTCCTGTTTCCTTTGACTGCAAATTAGCAATAAAATAGTGAAGTTATAAGACTTAAAGCCAGTCAAGGCAAAAGATGAAGTTCCAGAGGTTCCTAACCTAATTTCATTTGTACAGATCAGCAAAAACACAGTGAGGAGAGAAATGAAACTGTGGGGTTTCATTAAAAAAGAAAAGAGACCCAGGGCCGCCATTGTTGTTGTTGAACAAAACAATGAGAGTTATTGCAGGTGAGTGTGGGGTTACCTTGATATTACTCTGAAGAGAAGCGAATTCAAGATGTGATTGTGGGTTGCTTGAGTTTTTTATACACTGTAAAGGGAATGAGCAAGCCAAGCCAGGGCCGCCATTGTTGTTGGTTTCCAAGCTCTGTTTCTTCTCTAATTTCCCAAAGAAGATAAGCCCATTTGTAATTGCAAATTCGAGGTCATGCGAAAGCGACAGGATCACAATGTTCTTAGAATTGGGTTGTTGCTTCTGCGTCATTTCTTTTGAATTAGTTTCAAAAACATTAATCTTTCATTTTTAAATATCTTTATGTAGAGAATTAATAAATAAATATACTATTAATTAACAAACTAATAGAGAAAACTAGATAAAATTATAAAATTATAAAATTAAAATATTACCCTCAATTTTCATAAAAAAATTTTTAAACTAATTTTAAAATAGAATATAATCTAATAAAATGTTGGACGTTTTAAATGTAAAATCAAATTTGGAAAAAAAAATATCCGTATTTTTTTTTATAGATTTTTTTGAAAATTAAAAAAAAAAATATATATTTTTAAAGAAATTATAAAATTTAGGAGTATTTTTATTAATTTAAAATTTAAAAAATAATTAAGTTTTGAAAAGAGAAAACACTAAAAATGGGTGGGATTAATTAAAAAAGATAATACCAAAATCCACGTAGCTTTCTGAAAACAAATTACATTAAATTAAATAAACCAATCCCTACCGACCCAATTAAAAGTTTTTTCTATTTTAATATATAGTATTTAAATTAAATTACTCTTTAATCCCTTTCCATTTAACTTCTAATTTTGATTTGGATTAATTTCTCTTAATAAAAAATATTTATTTTTTATTTTTTAGGTGGGATATCAAATCTATATAAATTATATAGTGAATAATGTAGAATCTATATATATATATATATATATTAAAAAGAGATTAATAATAATAATAATAATAATAATAATAAAAGCTTTCCCAATGATAATGTATTTTTCTAGTTTTGCATTATATCAAAATCGTTATCAATTTAAATATCTCCAAAATCCTAAATATGATTTTTTAAATTAAATTTATGCTTACTACAAATAATTAAACTCAATTTTATAAATCTAATCCTCAAAATTATCACTTTAATTTTATAAAATATCAAATTCACATAATTACAAATTCTTTTACTAGGAAAAAAAAATAGTAGGATTTTTTTTTAAATTTTTTTGGAAAAAATGAGATTCCAGAATAAAGAGGAAATTGAAATATTAAATTATAAAAAAAAGAATCAATAATATAATTAATACAAAAAATATATTTATTGCTATTTTATTGAGTATTTACCAAATGGTTTAGGGATAATTAGAGAAAGCTAATTCGAAGTCCACCGACACCGTAGAAATTAATTAAAATATTTGTCAAAAGAAAAAGAAAATAAAGGTCCAAATTATATGCTTTAATAAAAGGTCAAGTCATAATAATAAAACAATTTAAATAGAATAATTACAGGAATAATAAAGAGTCAACGAATAAAGTAGGTTGCAACGTCCCTATCGAAACGACGTCCGCATGGAATAAACTCTTTGATTTGACCAGCCACGCGCAATGACTTTTTTACCCAATGCATAATCGACGCGTCGTATACACACGCCGGAGTGTCGGTGGTGGTTGCCAATTCACCAGACCGTGATGCGTTGATGTGGCGTCCTTGTGTCCATTGGGCCCCACTGCCACATGTCATTGCTTAATTTTCCAAATTTTATTCGGAGATTCCATTTTGAAAGATTTTTTATTTCCCAAAATCTTTAGCATAATTTTAAAATTTGTTATATTTTAAATTTTTTTTAGAAACTTTCTAATTTAATTATTTTTTTATTATGTTATGCATTTGCATGTAAATATATAAAATTAAAAATCAATAATTGGTTTAAATAAATATATAATAATAAAACAATTTTTTTTTTCAAAATGTGAGATTTTCTCTATTTAATTGAAATTATGTAGTTCTAATTTATCCAAGATTATGATTAAAGGGAAAAAAAAAATTAAATAATGGAAGTTAGTGAAATGTCTAAATTACCCCTAATTTGGAGACAAAATGTTTGATGAAAAATAGGAAAGAGTGGGATTTTGTTTTCACAAATAAAATTGGAATTAGTTTCATAAAAAGAAAAAAAAGGAATCTTATTTAGTAATTTAGTTTTGGGAAGTTTCTACCAAAAACCAATTATGTTATGCAAAACTTATCTTCAAAAGGGAAAAATGTATTAAATACAATAATACCAAAATAAAATTATTATTATTATTATTATTATTTTTTTTAGTAAATTTTATTTATTTATTTCTATGAATGATACTATAATAAGTTTCAGTCTAAAATATTCATTGTTTTGTGTACTTAATTAAGAATATTAAATAAAAAATTCTTTAAAAACAAAATGAAAAATAATTCTTACAATATTCATAAGAAAAAAATTAAAAAAAAAATACTAAAAATAGTTTTTAGCAAACATTCCATTGTAACTTATATTAATAAATCACATCTTAAATGGATTTACTTTCAATTTTGTGCAATAAATGGGTCAAACACTATTTTTTTTTTTAGTTAATTTATTTTTCAAAGAAACTTCATTAAAAGAATTTGTGGATAATGAGCATAGTTGGTGATACCCGAGTGAAAAAAGAATCCTTTGGTGTTTAAATTTTAAGAATTCGGTAGAGTAATGAAAATAACCGTTAAATCTTGATATGAGATACTTTGTATAAGATATACAGACTTGACCGTTCAATCAATATAATATTGAATGAGCAATTGACGAAATTTTTTCTTTTCAATAGGCTTTACTCATACATGTAATAGACCATCACGTCCTTGAGAAAGACGATCACTATCTCCCTTCACCCTTTTGAGCAAAATGCAATAAAAGGGAGAGATGGATCGACCCCATTCCCTCTACTTTGTAGGAACTATCGAATCACTCTAAGGGTGCCTTTGGTGTCTAAGGTTTGTGAATCCAACAAATGGAACAATTTCGTGCATTTTTTCAAGATCTAAGTCAAAGAAGGTAGCTTGTAATCGTATAAGTCCAGTGCTAGTAGATTTGTCCACTTTGGCCCGTTACGTATTGTCATCAGCGTCACGATTTTTAAAATGCGTCTGTTAGGGAGAAGTCTCAATACCCTTATAAGGAATGCTTCATTACTCTCTCCAACCGATATAGGATTTCACAATCCACCCTATTTAGGGATCCATCGTCTAACACACCACCTGGTATTTGGCGAGCTAATATCATTTGTATCAACCAAAATCCATTGCAAGCAGATATTGTCTGCTTTGATTTATTACTATCTACGTCAACCTAATGATTTTTAAAACGCATATGTTCGGAAGAAGTTTCCACACTCATATAAGAAATGTTTCGTTTCATTCTACAACCAATATGAGATCTCACATAGCTTGTTTGATCCTTACACCCAAACATATACAAGATATGACAATGTTTGACGAACGATTGTGATAGACAAGATAACGAGACACATTTTCACATATATTAAATTAACGAAGCCAATGAGACGAACATAAACCAAATGGATAATTAGGAGATGGAAAACAAAGGGCACATGTAAGTGTTAAGTGTTAATGAATGAGAGGGGAAGGGATCTTTGCTTTGCTTTTAAGACACACAGAAAAACACGAACACAAAACAACACACCATAATACATATAATAATAACGTAATTTTGAGACACAACAGTTCCTCCACACATACGTAATATGTCTCTTCCATTTCCCCTTTTCCTTTATAACCCAACCCACTTCCAACACAACCTTTGGCGGCTTTTCATTTCCCTCTTTTCTTATATAATTTTGCTTATTCCATATATATATATATATATATATATATATATGAGAGTAAATCAACACCCAACTTAGCTGGCCACTCGTTTTTATGTTTTCTTTCCTCCCTTTTCTCTTTCTGCTCTTCGCTGCCTTCGTCCCTCGGTTTGTAGAGGGATTTTCTCGGGAAAGTTTGAGACTTTAGCAAGTGGGGTGGGGAAATTTTTCGCAGGGGAGGCGATTGGTGGCTGATTTGGGCGCAACCCGATTCTCTGTGGCCTGACAGATTCTGGGTTCTTCGGATTTGAGTCAAAGGAGAAACCCCATTTGAATTTAAGAACAAGAATCGGATGAAATTTTGGCGATTGGGGGCTTTTGATTTTGATTTTGTTTCTCAATACCTGTTTTAGACGCGTGGCTTTTGCAATTTGCTTCGACAACTCTGTTAATGCTGGCGTCACTGCCTTTTTCAACGATAATCTCTTGACGTCTATTGGGTGGGTCTTTTTCCATTTCTTTAACAGATCGCCTAAGAAAAATTTCCACACCGTTGAGATCTGCTGCTTTCCGATTGGTTCTTCAGTCAAAGATGATGAAAATGAAGACGAAAACGACAGGGCTGTCTCAGATTAAGGGTAGTTCCGCAGTCGGTGACGGTGGTGGAGACGGTCAGCTGATGGATTGGGAATTACGGCCAGGGGGAATGCTTGTTCAGAAGAGAAACGCTGATTCCGACCGGGAATCAACTCCGGCGCCGCCGACGATTAGAGTTAGAGTCAAATACGGCTCTAATTACCACGAACTTAGTATCAGTTCACAAGCCACATTTGGTGATGACCCTTTTCTTGTATCCAAATTTCTGAGAAACCCAAATGAATTGGAGGCTGATTTTCTGTTTTGTCGGTGTTTTTTGTTGGTTTGAGTTGCAGGGGAGTTGAAGAAGATGTTGGTCGGACCGACAGGATTGCACCATCAAGATCAGAAGCTGTTCTTCAAGAAAAAAGAGAGAGATTCAAAGGCGTTTCTGGACATTTCTGGAGTGAAAAACAAATCAAAGATTGTTGTAATGGAAGACCCAATTAGCCAAGAAAGAAGGTATGTTGAGATGAGGAAGAACGCCAAAATGGAGAAAGCTTCAAAATCTATATCAGAAATCAGCTTGGAAGTTGATAAACTTGCAGGACAGGTAAATTGTTTGTTTTGTTTTGTTTTGTTTGGTCTTTTTTGGGGAATCAAAGGTTAATGTTGTAATGGCAAAACACATAGGTTTCTGCATTGGAATCTGTGATTTGTAAAGGTGGGAAGGTTGCTGAGAATAATGTGTTGAATTTGATTGATTTGTTGATGAATGAATTGCTTAAATTGGATGCCATTATGGGAGATGGAGATGTCAAATTGCAGAGGAAAATGCAGGTTTGGTTATTATGTTCTTCATTTTCCTGTTGTTCTTGAGCTAAAACGACACAATTTTGAACCATTTTGATCGTTTCTTGTAGGTAAAAAGAGTGCAAAAATATGTTGAAACTCTTGATTTGTTGAAGATTAAGAACTCCATGGCTACAATTCAAACACAAACTCACAACACCACCAACAATTCTAATCATCAAAGACAAACAAGTAGGCCTTCCTTCGCAAACAACAAACTATCAACAATTCAAGAGGAGCAGCAGCAGCCCCGCGACGACCTTATCGACCTCGACGATTCTCTACAATGTCAGCAATCTCCTCCGCATTCGACGAGGTCGACGGTGTCCTCCGGTACTGTGGTGACAACAAAATGGGAGATATTCGATTCGTCCTCATCGGTTGCACCCGCCGAGCATCCCGTCCCACCGCCGAGGTTCAACTGGGAATTCTTCGATTGAGAGAGAGAGGCAGTAGATTTCGTGAGGCTGTGTGATTTGAATTCAGATTTAGGTGGCTTGGTCCCTTATGATAATATGAGGAGCCTTTTGATTCTTTAGTGTATTTAGATGGAAATTTAGAGTGACACCTCCCTCTTCAGGAAATAAATGGATCATCACTTCTGTTCTTTATTTTTTGTTTGGCATTTTGGAGTTCATTCTCCCTCTCCCCCATTTGTATCCTCTTCCTTTTTCACCTTATAAAACAACACATCTCTACCAGATTCTCTTCCTTTGTTTCTCTGTTTGAGTTTCACAGACACCTTCAGATTCAAGACAGAGCTACTACCTTATTTCTTCCAAATTCAAAAGCTCCCTTCTTCTCCGTCTGTCTAGGAGATTCTACCTCAAGGGAATGAAACATTGTTTATAAGAGTGTAAAAATCCCTCCCTATTAGACGTGTTCTAAGGAAGCACGAAAGGGAAAACCCAAAGAGAACACACTATCTACTAGCTATGGATTTGGGCGGTTACCAATTGTGAAATCCCATATTCATTGGGGAGGAGAACGAAACACCCTTTATAAGGGTGTGGAAACCTCTTCCTAGCAAACACGTTTTAGAACTTTGAGGGGAAACCTAAAAGGGAAACCCCAAAGAAAACAATATCTGCTAGCGGTGGACTTGGGCCGTTACACCAATGGTATCAAAGCCAGACACTGGATGGTATGCCAACAAGGACATTGAGCACCAAAGGGAAGTGGACACTAGGTGGTGTGCCACCAATGGTAACAAGGACACTGAGCACCAAAGGAAAATGGACATTAGGTTGGTGTGCCACCAATGCCAACAAGGACACTGAGCACCAAAGGGAAGTGGACACTAGATGGTGTGCCACGAATGCCAACAAGGACACTGAACACCAAAGGGAAGTGGACACTAGGTGGTGTGCCACCAAGGACACCAAGTCTTGAAGGGGATGAACAGTGAGCTGTGTACCGGTGAGGACTTTAGGCCTTGAAGGAGGGTGGATATTGAGCAGTGTGCTAGCGAAGACGTTGAGCCTGAAAGGGGGTAAATGTGAGATCCCACGTCAGTCGGAGAAAGGTAGGGTTGGTAACTCTCTCTCTTTGTTAACAAAAAGTTGATCTCTTTCTCTCTGAAAATTAGGCCATAATTTAGAAGCAATGATTGGTTTTCTGTGGATGGTTCCAGGATGTATATGAAGCAGAAGGGATTAATGCGAAGAAAACAATGATGTTCCAAGACAAGGGTCCTTAGTGTGGGGGCTACAAACAGACAAAGGAATTGGTTCTTGATGAAGATGATTAAAGAATATGATACCTTTTCCTTTATATTAAGTATATCATATCATTATCTGGGATGATGGGAGTTCTCATCCCTCACAAGGCTTTCCATATTCAGAAATGTTGGCCTTCTTTTGGGTTTCTTTTTGGTTCTCTCAAGCAATAAAGGGAAGTCACAACAACTCTTCCATTGCCTTTCTGTGAAGCAAAGAAGCGAAGAGGTAATCATAGTAGAAAGGCTCAAACTTCAATCCATCAAAAGGCTATAAAGAAGGAATGATAATAAGAATTATTGCTTATGCCTACTCACACTTCTGCAATGGAAATGGACAAATCAGCAACTTAGCAACCAAAAGTATCAACTATCATACCCATCATGATTGCCAAAAGAAACCCATTTGGGGAATACTTAAAACATTATACTTTGATGAATGGATAATCTCTTTAAGCATAGTTAAGTGGTTATTATTATAGAGATCGATAGTTCTCGATCTTTCTCATTTGAAATTGTTGTTTTTCGTTCTTCTCTTCTCTATTTTTTATTGTTAAGATGTTAGATCCCACGTCGGTTCGAGAGGGGAACAAAACATTCTTTGTAAGGGTGTAGAAACCTCTCCCTAGTAGACGCGTTTTAAAATCGTGAGGCTGACGGCGATGCGTAACAAAGTGGACAATATCTACTAGTGGTGGGCTTGGACTGTTACAAATGGTATCAGAGCTTGACATCGGGCAGTGTGCCAACAAGGATGCTAAGCCTCAAACGGGGGTAGATTGTGAGATCCCATATCGGTTGGAGAGGGGAACGAGTGTTAGCAATGACGATAGGTCTCAAAGAGAGGTGGATTATGAGATCTCGCATTTGTTGGAGAAGGGAATGAGTGCCAACAAAGACGTTGGGTCTTGAAGGGGATGGATTGTGAGATCCCACATCGATTGGAGAGGAGAACGAAACATTCTTTGTAAGGGTGTAGAAACCTCTCTCTAGCAGACGAGCTTTAAAATCGTGATTCTGACGGCGATACATAACATACCAAAGTGGACAATATCTGCTAGAGGTGGGTTTTGACTGTTACAAACGGTATCAAAGTTCGACATCGGGCAGTGTGCCAACGAGGACGCTAGGTCTCGAAGAGGGGTAGATTGTGAGATCCCATATCAGTTGGAGAGGGAAACAAGTGCTAGCGATGACGATAGGTCCCGAAGAGAGGTGGATTGTGGGATCTCACATCGGTTGGAGGGAGAAGGGAATGAGTGCCAACGAAGACGCTAGGCCCTGAAGGGGGTGGATTGTGAGATTCCACATCGGTTGGAGAGGGGAACAAAACATTTTTTATAAAAGTGTGAAAACCTCTCCCTAGCATATGCGTTTTAAAATCAAGAGTGTGGAAACCTCTCTCTAGTATACGTGTTTTAAAACCATGAAGCTGATGACGATACGTAACGGACCAAAACTTAGATGGCAAAGCCACAAATATTGAAGTTGTATAAACCCAATGAGCCCAAGTATTAATTGGGTTAGGCACAAGGCTCATTCTATCATCCAAGTAAAGCAAAGCCCTCAACTTTTGAACACATATAGAATAGGCCTACAAGCGGTGTATCTTGCACATCGAATGGGTATCAATTTGAATCGAAAGCTCTCCACTTGGAGGCATTAAAGAAAAGAACCAAAAAAAGGGGGCCAACTTGTTGTCCTTTTTGAACACGTTGCTTAGAAAGTCAAAGAAAGTGGAAAGGTGATGCTCAACATACAGTGCCAAAGACAGTTTCAAAGCTAAAACAATGGCCACAACTTCAAGCCATTACAACCTAAGTTTGAGATAATTGAAACACTAAAAGGATATGACCATAAATCACTTACCTTTTGAACACACTTTTTGAGATGGATCCTTCAAAGAAAAAGGGAGAAGCCAAACCCACAAGTTTTCTTGGCTGTTCATATTAAACTTCTCATCAACTTGTCCGTTTCATAATCGACATCTCGTGTTTCTTAATTACCCGACTAAACTATCATCAACTTCTCATGTATTTGACCACATCGAGCCCTCTAATCAACCTATAATAAACTTTTTTTTTTATAATTATTGTTTCGATATTTAAACCATATTATAACAATACGGGTTACGAAATATGATTGATTGGTAAAGCTGAAACAAAAAGGTTGTATTTTTATACGTATGGATAAAAGGGCATGTGTGTAAAAATTTTATCTCCTCCTCATACTTTATAGGAACCATTATTCATTCCGAGCATAAACTCTCATGACTTTGCTTTTCGTACCTCGTACCAATGGAGATAATGCTCCTACTGTCTCCATTGTATCGAGACCTATTAGTAGAGATATTCGTTCTATCCATTTATGTATTGAAATGATAGATCATGATTATATCACGTATGACGTAGGACTATTGAGACGTTGTTTTCGAAAATCTCAAATGAAATTGGGTTTAGAAAAGATCCAACTTTCACTACTTTTGTTTATTATATTCAAAGTTAAAAAAGGTGTCGCACATCTTTGAATTGAATTTGGTTTCAAGCTTTGATTTTTATTTAGTTTTTTCTTGATCGGTGCAAAATGAGACAAACCCACTAGTCTTTGGGCAACCCGTTGTGATAATCAATGCAAAATTCTCCAACTCAATACTCTGTGAACCTCAAATTTGAATCAATCTCTCAAAAATTACACGTATAATCTCGAGTTAATATAATACTAATAAATTAGGCCACGTTCGATAACTATTTAGTTTTTGAAAATTACACGTATAAATAATGAAACGAAAAAAATTCATAGGTGGAAATAGATTTCTCAACTCAATTTTCACGAAAAAAAAAAATCAAATGGTTATCAAACGAGATCTTATTGTAAGACAGCCATATTTGAAATTTGTCATCTTCCAACATGGAGGATAAAGTATAAGACAGCCATGTTTGAAACTCGATGTATACCCATGTTCGTGAAATTCAATGCTTTTAATTTAATTGTTGATTTTATCCTATTTAATTCAAAAGGTTGAATATTTGATTTAGAATAATGTGCAATAATCAATGAAGTAGGTAATAATTTATTCTCATTAACCTTATTAATTTTCATTAACCATGTTTATAATTAATCTAATTACAAGTTATTTTCAAATTGAGTTTGTTTTATCTTTTTTATAATAATAGTAATTAAAATAAAAGTGATGTATTTGATATATGCCTAACTAATTAGGCACTATCTTTTTATTTTTTTTATTTTTTTTATTTTCCTTTTTTCATTTTTTAAAATTAATTTTCATAGGGCATTATTTAAATTCCCTTGTCACAATGACAAAGATGGGTATCTTATTCTTTAAATATGATTCTATATAATTTGTATTTTTTTAAAATAATAATATGCTTTTAGTAATAAAATTCAAAATACATTTATTTATTTATATTTAATGCTAATAGATTACGTAAATATGAGTGTGATTAATTTAACAGGAAATTATTTATCCAAGTTGACAATAAATATAAATACTTTAAAAAAATAAGATTATTAAAAGAAGGGGTGGGAGGTTGAATTTGAAATAAATAAAAATTTATTATTATTATTATTATTATTATTAGTATTTAAATTGAAAAAAACAATTTTTTTTTTTTTTTTGGGGCATCCGGGATCTTGCCGCGACTTTTGCCAGCCGCTGCGCGTCGTAATCAACAAGTTCGGCGCGTGATATCGGAACCTTCTAAAAGTGAAAGTGGGGGAGTGGGTGGATGTGGTTATTTTGCATACCAACGGAACTGACGCTGCTTTTGGAAAAATCTCACCCTCTTAATCCACCTCTCTAATTCCCACACGTCACCCTACACGCGTGGATCTCACTTGCTGACGTCCTAACTCTACCGACGAACTCGCTTTTATTTATTTATTTAATGACTTCCTCTACTCTATTGGTCAACTCTTCTCCCACCGTTTATAATTTCATTTTTAATTAAATTATAATTTTTAATA